ATGTAAATTTATCCTAAAATAATGCTGTTTAATAATGTGTGGTAGTGAAAGTAACATTGATATGCTTATTATTTTATATTTTCTACATTAATTAAAAGGTACCTTTAAAAAGAATGGTTTATTATTAAAGTAAAAGTAATGCTTACAAAGGTTTTATGATGAAATTTCAGATATTACATATTACAAACATTAATTTTCTATTGAAAATAATTGAATGGTACTTAAATAAATATTGGTTAAAAATGCTCAATTTAAGCAATCTTTATTATATTTTTACATTAATGATTCAATTGCAATACATGCAATAATGATAGAAATACACGTAGAAGCTTAAGCTATGTAACTCGATCATTTGTCGTCCTTCGATATTAAAGTTCAAATTTCCACTCAATTGTTTAAAATACTTAATTTTCATCGACATGCAAAATTATTTCAACGATGCCTTAAATTCTCTTGAATAGTGCCTAAAATTTTTAAAGAATGATTATCTGTAAAGGAATCCTGAAAATTAAAAAAAATATTGCAACTACATTTTTTGTACATCTCCATTTAATTTTAAATTAATTTTTCAATGTTAAAACAATTTTCATTATATATCATATACAACAGAGAATATAACAACATTCTTAAAACTCTAATTATTTATTATTAAAATCTAACAAAGCATATTCTTGTTATTTTTATTAAAAAAATATAAATTACTAATTTATGAATTTCGGTTTTAATAATTTATCTTTTGTTATATCTAACAAATACATAGATACTTCAATGCAAAATTTTAATAATATTAGTATAAAAAAAAGAAGAAGAAGATTTTTCTTTTACTATTCATTGTAAACTATCTCTACTTAAATCGGCATTTTTCAATAATTTCAACATCTGTTGATTGTAATAATTTTGTATAGTTAAAAAAAAAGTTTACTTTGATTAGTAATCATGTCTATTCTTATCAGAATAATAAATGTACGCACTAATGTCACTATTTATTTAAAATTTTTTTTAGGAGCTTATTTTATATATGAAATAATAAAATAACAATTTACAAAAATAGTTAAAAATATGTAATTCTTCTTGAATTTTGCATGACTTACCTTTATTATTTATTTTCTATACATTATTTCATTTAATAAAAAATAAAAGTATTTTAATTAAAATATTAATGTACGATTGGCTAAAGAAATTTCTTTTCATCGATAAAAATTAATTTACATTTTTATCGATGCCCTTTATAAACTAATAAGAACAATATTAATGAAATAAATAAAATAATCGTTGCATTATGGGATGTCGCATAAATATAATTTCTATATAAATAAGAACGATAACTGTGTTATTATTTATATTATGTATTTTATCTAGACTATTCTGTAGATAAATAATAAAAAACTTATTACTAATAATTATTGAATTTAAACGAGGATTAAATTCTCTAATATTCGTTTTTCTAATATTTTGGAGTAACGATTGAGATAAAAAGTTGCTTCAAATTTTCTAGTTTCAATCTATTTGGATTACACATCAAGGATGTAAAACAAAGCTTAATAATACAATACAATACATAATATTAGTTAATCTTTGATTAAAGCAATAATATACGGATAAGCTCTGCTAATTTATTCAAATAAGACTAATATATATATATATATATATACATGTAAAATAAAATAATAATTCTCATAATGGAGCATGCTACTATTGAGAAATTTATGCGCATAAGATTATTGATTTGTAAAATTGAATAATTTGTAAGCACAAACAATGCTAGAATGTATCGTTACACAGTTCTAATTGACGATGCAATTTGACAAATAATACTGATACATACCTTACAAGCCGATGTAAATTAAATGCCAAAACAAAGTAAAAATTTAAATAAATTGAACTCACATAAATACAGGCCATTATCATAAAAATCACATTTGCATAGTATATTCTCCAACTTGATAGTGTGAAGTATGGCAATGTTTAATGGAGCAAGCAACAGGTAGTTCAAAGCAAATTTCTTTCCAATCGATGCGGTTCCTAATCCCCGGGAGAGCGGCACTTTTTCTTGAATAAACGTCAGGCACAATTTTAACGCAATATTATTAGAGAGAGAGAGAGAGAGAGAGAGAGAGAGATAGAGAGAGAGAGAGAGAGATAGAGAGAGAGTGCGTGTGTGTGCGTTGTAATTAAGTCACCATTATGGAATAGGTCGAACAGTACCTTCGCACAAACTTCCTCCATAAGTCACTTTTCCCGCTAGGTTATGTCCTAACCTTTCGCACAATTTTGCGCGCAGCTTTCCGCAGACAAGCACTGAAGGGGACGCGGCGAGAACCGGGTCGGAGCAAGCCGCACAACGCGCGATCACCGAAAAATGCACTTTTCCCGGCATTTGCATTTGTTTAACAAGGAAACGACCAATCACTAAGCGGAAACCCACGCAAACAAAGCATTATCCACGCTGTAACTCGCTTCGATATGTGCAACTGGGCGAGCGTAGCTTAGGTTAGGTGGAACAAACGAGACGACGGGAAGAGAAAAGATTGCCGGCGTGGTTCCCCCACTTATTCCCACGAATCTAGGCTGAAGATTGTTCCCTCTGTTCTCTCTCCTTCGTAACGGTTTTTTTTCGCGCTACTCTCGACACTAGTCTCGTACATAGCGGCCGAAGCTTGATTGATTCGACTGGAGCAGCAATTTGATAAAAGAAAGTTTCCAGAAGACTCGTGGATTCTATTAGCCGTCCGTCTTTACGGTTCTTGTAGCACGCACTTTTTCTTTATTGGCCATCTTGTGACGTTTACAATTCTCCTCGTACCTTATACTTTGTTCCTACACAAAGCGCACGCACACTTACATATTATGGCATGCCGAGCATTATATTCATTATATCAATACATCGTCATTACTATTAATAATTTCCATTCTTTCATTCATTAGGACTTGGGGGACTCGAGGCTTTTTCTTTAACATTACGTTTAATTTTTGTTTTC